TGTTTGTATATGTATAGCCAGCTGTTTTAGGTTATGTTTGTATGTGTATAGCCAGCTGTTTAGGTTATGTTTGTATGTGTGTAGCCAGCTGTCTAGGCGATGTTTGTATATGTATAGCCAGTGGCTAGGTGCTCTTTGCATGTGTATAGCCAGTGTCTAGGCAATGTTTGTATATGTATAGCCAGTGACTAGGTGCTCTTTGCATGTTTATAGCCAGTGTCTAGGCAATGTTTGTATAATGTATAGTCAGCTGTTTAGGTTATGTTTGTATGTGTGTAGCCAGCTGTCTAGGTGATGTTTGTATGTGTGTAGCCAGTGGCTAGGTGCTCTTTGTATGTGTATAGCCAGTGCTAGGTGTCCTTTGTATGTGTATAGCCAGTGGCTCGTGCACTTTGTATGTGTATAGCCAGCTGTTTAGGTGATGTTTGTATGTGTATAGCCAGCTGTTTAGGTGCTCTTTATATGTGTATAGCCAGCTGTTTAGGTGATGTTTGTATGTGTATAGCCAGCCATCTAGGTGCTGTTTGTATGTGTATAGCCAGCTGTTTAGGTGATGTTTGTATGTGTATAGCCAGCTGTTTAGGTGCTCTTTATGTGTGTATAGCCAGCTGTTTAGGTGATGTTTGTATGTGTGTAGCCAGCTGTTTAGGTTATGTTTGTATGTGTATAGCCAGCCATCTAGGTGATGTTTGTATGTGTATAGCCAGCAGTTTAGGTGCTCTTTATATGTGTATAGCCAGCTGTTTAGGTGATGTTTGTATGTGTATAGCCAGCTGTTTAGGTTATGTTTGTATGTGTGTAGCCAGCTGTTTAGGTTATGTTTGTATGTGTATAGCCAGCTGTTTAGGTGATGTTTGTATGTGTATAGCCAGCTGTTTAGGTGCTCTTTATATGTGTGTAGCCAGCTGTTTAGGTGATGTTTGTATGTGTATAGCCAGCTGTTTAGGTGCTCTTTATATGTGTACAGCCAGCTGTTTAGGTGATGTTTGTATGTGTATAGCCAGCCATCTAGATGATGTTTGTATGTGTGTAGCCAGCTGTTTAGGGGCTCTTTATATGTGTACAGCCAGCTGTTTAGGTGATGTTTGTATGTGTATAGCCAGCCATCTAGGTGATGTTTGTATGTGTGTAGCCAGCTGTTTAGGTGATGTTTGTATGTGTATAGCCAGCTGTTTAGGTGCTCTTTATATGTGTATAGCCAGCTGTTTAGGTAATGTTTGTATGTGTATAGCCAGCTGTTTAGGTGCTCTTTATATGTGTACAGCCAGCTGTTTAGGTGATGTTTGTATGTGTATAGCCAGCCATCTAGGTGATGTTTGTATGTGTGTAGCCAGCTGTTTAGGTTATGTTTGTATGTGTGTAGCCAGCTGTCTAGGCGATGTTTGTATGTGTATAGCCAGTGGCTAGGTGCACTTTGTATGTGTATATATAGCCAGCTGTTTAGGTGATGTTTATATGTGTATAGCCAGCCATCTCGGTGCTGTTTGTATGTGTATAGGCAGCTGTTTAGGTGCTGTTTGTATGTGTATAGCCAGCTGTTTAGGTAATGTTTGTATGTGTATAGCCAGCTGTCCAGGTGCTGTTTGTATGTGCATTTCTTGTGTGTATTCATTTGGTATCTTTAAGATTATTTAGGTTCAGTATTACGCCAAAAAAAATTGCAGAAAATGTTCAATCAATGCAGCTGAATGGTGAAATGAATGAGTTATTACCGTTGCATTAGATTCTATATCTTCTCGCATAGCACGCCTTTCAGTCCGCCATTGCTCTTGATATCTTTTATATTCATGTGATATTCTTTGTACATCAGCATCCTTATCTAATATTTCAACATGGAGTCGCTGGTTATCCTATCGATAAGGATACATCAATTTTAGAAACTCAAGTTGATTGTAACCACAAAATAAACAATTGGACGACGATGACAACATCAACAACTGGACAGACATTTACTATTTTTTGTCCCATTTACATAAGTTCTTAGTTAGGGAATAGGGAATGATTTTGATCACCAATTTTGAAGATCTATGATAAAAACTACGAGACAGCTTATAAATAGATCACATGTATTGGTTAACACAGGAAGTATACATGATGAACACAAATGCTTATGCAGTCAAGGTAACTCACCTCATTGAGTCTGTCAATATCAGATTTCAATCGAGGCTGGTCTGTTTTCAGTTTACTGACTTCCTCTTCTAATGCGCTGATTCTGGAGATTAAAAAAATCAAGACAGATTAAAAGATTTGTAATTTTATTATTTATTTAAATTTGTTTTATTAAAATTGAGACAACATGCTATTGACACTTCAACTGGATTTTTTCAGTTTTCAAAAACTCATCAACTTTGGGAATGGATATTTGCGTAACCACTTTGTTTACACTTGGATAAATGATTGTGTGAATTCTTTTATGTCTGTGTCAATGTTTGTAAATTCCATTCTTAAGAGGTCCTATGAGAGATACAACAGGTAGAGAATAAAACACTGCTATGGTGAAATGTACATATCCTAATATTTGCATAATCTAAAAAAATGCATGTATAATTTATTCTTAGAGTTTACATCCCGGGTGGTGGTCATTTTCAATTGAAATTGGTCAAAATCATAATTTTAAAATTCAGGTATGCCATTTTTCTCAGACTTTCAAATAACAAAACAGAGAAACATTTAGTTAGCTACATCTACTGGAACACAAGGGAGTTATAGAATAACTTACGTTTG